AACAGTTTGACCAGGTTCGATAATCAAATTAAAGTTTTTTAAAATTTGGACATCCGGACGAGTTGGATAATGAAAAGAGACATTTTTAAATTCTATTCGACCTTGAGAAGAAGATTTTTGAATAATTTGACCAGCAGGAGAAGTTGAATCAATATTAGGAATGCGGTCGATTACTTCAAATAGTTTAGTAGCGGCACCCATTGCATTTGATATAGCAGTGAAATGAGGAGCGGCATTACCAACGGAGAAAGCTACATTAAAAATAATAAGTTAACAAATTTCCAAGAATATGATTATAAGAAATAATGTAAAGATAAACAAAATATTAAAAGATATATCAACCTACCACCGATAAAAACGGCAAAGAAAACGTTCAAAATATCAGGACCAGTCGTTTCAACATTTACAATTAAAATACTACCATACCAGAAAGCCAAACCATAACAACCAAACATAATAAACATAAGAACCCCGAGACCTAAACCACTAACTAATGATTTTTTCCTTCCCACAACATACGCGCGGTCTAATTGCGTAGTATAACGTTCAAGTTCAAGTTTTTGACCACCAAATGCTACTACGGTTCTTATACCGGATAGTACTTGTTCTGCCACACTTCCAGCAGCTGCATACGCGTCTGTTTCAAAATAAAAAAAGAAGAATTTCAATACGAGTGATATTAATGATATTAATTATATGATTAATGATATTAAAGAATTAAATAATAAAATATTACGAACCTTGTCCTGTTATATCAAAAAAAAAAACATATATGTGTATATATTTAGTAATGTAAAATTAAAAAGAAATTTTCAAACGAGAAATGATAAAAATAACAACCTTCAACAGTGTCTTGACTAAGAGTTTTTGCCATAAACCCACCAGCCGCAGCCATTAGAGGAAACACGGAACAAAGAACAAGAGTTAATTTCCAACCTAAAATATTGTAGAAAAAAAAAAAGTTTAATGATTTGTATGTATGTGGCGCAGAACATATTTTATGAAATATTATATAAGGATTTAAGACAAACCTTTTATAAACCCTATAACAAAACCACCAAGGAACGTAGCAGCATATTGTAAAATTTGACCAACTTTTTCAGAGATACCTTCTTGATAAAGAGAAATATCTCCAGATATGCGAGTAGTGACGTCACCCGTCGACACCGTATCAAAGAACGTGATATCTTGACGAAGGATAGCAGAATAATAGATTAATCTAAGTCTCTTTTAAAAACAAAAGCAGAATAATTTTAAATTAGAACAAGCGAAGCGATAAAATAAAGCGAAATAAAGTGAATGGTGAAATGAAGTGAATGGTAAAATGAATTGATAAAATCAATGATAAAATCAATGATAAAATCAATGATAAAATCAATAATAAAATGAATGATTTAATACTGACATTTGCTTGACGTTCACCAGCAATCATCCACAAAGACATTTGCAAATATCCAACAACAAAAACAAGAACACCCAATATAATAAATTGTATAGCATTATTTCTAACGGCATCGTCTAAAGTTTGTCGTGCTGCATCTTTACCAGCCGGAAAAAGAGTATTTTTTTGTAATTCATAGGCAAAAAAGCTGTTTAAGAAATCAGCAAATAAAATTGTCATGACAGGAATAGCGGCACCTAAAGCCTATATAATAAAAAAGCAAAGTTAAAAAAAAGTCTAACATAATGCTATAGTATAATACTAATAAAGATTGAAAAATTACCAGGGATGAAATAGAACCAATTATCATAAAAATTATATCAAGAGGAGTGGCAAATCTAAACAATTTAAAGAATGGAACTGTAGCGGCCTTTTCTTTTTGTTTCTTTTGATTTAGTTTTTTTTCTTTTTTCAAATCATCATCATCATTTGTAATTGAAGATTTTTCAGAATCGGCAGTTTTTTGTGGTGGTAACGCATCTACCACTGAAAAGTCAATTTCTTCTTCTTTGACATCAGTTGTAGGCAGAGACGCAAAATCATCTGACATTGATTGTGGTTCGGGAGTGAGATCTTGAGAAATTGAAGACATATTTAATTTATCTTATTATAAATCTTAATTATTATTATTATTGTTATTAAAAATTTTTTTTTGTATTTATTTATGTTAATATTTATAGAAGCTATATATTATTATTGTGATCTTAGAAGAATTCTTTATATATATATATTTTTTTTTAGATCAATGATATCATCGATTAGTTTTTTCTTAAAAAAAATTTTTTTTTTTGAATTGGAGCTTAAGTTTATTAAAAGATCAAGCATCAATCAGAAAGAAAGATACAGATTTAGTTTCCAAGTAAGAATTAAATTAATTAAAAATATAACTCGAGAAATCAAAATAAAATCTGCCCGATAATAATTGGGCAAATTCTTGTTTCTCCAAGTTAAAAAAAAAAGAAGCAATTTACTTAATCTTATTTATATTAAATTTCGCATTTGTGCGTAACTTTAAATAGACAAAGCACTATATTACATGCTTATTTACACAAATGTGATTGACAGCTGCGGATTTAGTGATTACTGCGGTGAGGTCCTAAAATAGAAAGAACTATATCACGATACAAATATAGTAAATATAGTATTAAAACTATTATTCTGTTTTTCGGCAATTATCGGTTATCCGGGTCATTTTACCCCCATTTAGGGAATGCTAAAATTTAATTGGTTTGATTATTTTTTAAGGTTACCTAATAGATTTGTATATCAAATCGGGGAGATGGAATAAATTGAAATTTGAAACCTATTAACGTTAACGGAAGTGAAAAGTAAATCTGATTCATTGTTTGTTTATAATAGAAATAATAGAAATCCGGGAATTATTCTAATTGGATTTATTGGATTTATTGGAGTTATCGATAACAAAGGTATATAGATTCATTAACTATTCAAATATAAGGCAAGGCGTATAATTATAACTAAAACTATTAAAAAATTTTTTAACATTATTAATAGCTAATGAGTCATTTCGTATATAATAGTGTTTATAACATCTTTAACGGAAAAGTTTTACAGTACGTCTAGGTTACGAGTTTTAAGTGCAAATTAATAAAATTAATAACAGTTAATCAAAATTAATACATAAGAAACAATGATAATTTGTCACAAATTGTCATTATTAGGAATGATTCGAAAAAGTAGAACGTTCTTTCCCCATTACCCATTACTCCTGTCATTCCTATCATTCTTCAGCGGTTTGTCATACCCTGCCCGACTCCTTATCTGACTCTTTACTATCCAATCTTTCCTACCTTGTCAATTTATTTATCAGCCTCACTTTAGCCTATATGCATCCGACATAAATAGGCATTAGATTCAGTAAGTAAATACATTGTGTATTTACAAATGATAAACTAAATGAATTCTGTGATTAAAAACTCATGACACTATCGAGAACAAGTTAAGCAATACGATAGTTTTAGCCTCTTATGGTTATTACTTTCACACGTTCTGTATGTCTGTGTGTACACATTTTAGAATTTTAGAAGACGTACATACGTACGTACGTATGTATACTAACGTATCTGGTATGTATACTAACGTCAGATCCGGTGCATGACCAGTAAAAACCTTATTCATATTAGATATTGCATGCTATATAGAATTATTTAAGACGTATTACATAAACATTTAATAAAATAAATATATTGATGCCGTAATAATATTTAATTCATTGATTATCACAAAAAATTTCGGTGATTCACTGTGACTTAGGTCCGAGACAGTATTCAGTTATTATTTATGATTTATTTATGATTTATTTATGATTTGTCAGGATTGCACATCCAATGTTTAAAAATTGGATTTTAAAATTTTATGCGGGAATACATTTAATACTTAAAACAAAATTTGCAAAATTTGCGAAATTAGTATGTTAATTTGTGGATTACATTTTTAATTAATAATAAAAGAAATATTAAATGAAGATAAGCATGTAGTTTATAGCATAATATATATCTAATAGTATTATATATGAGTGTCGCTAAAAGAAAACCCGAAAATTTAAATATAAGTCATATTTAAATTTTCGGGTTTCTTTTAGCGACTCATATTATAGTGCTACGTATTAACATGGTGATATTTACTTGCGGAAAATTAAATGCACGGAAAATAAAATTTTATTTACCGTTACCGTTACCCCATTGCTAAAATAGAAGTTGATAAATAAATCATATCGACCGATTTGGTTTGACCCCAAAATTAGGCAATCATTTATGATTGAGAATTATTGGTCGTTAAAATTTATTACAAAGTAAATTTTTACAATAATGGTCTTTTAAACTTACTTTGAATCCATTATTAAATGTATAGAATATTGCAATATCTACATCTTTAATTATTAGCTAAAGTAAATTTAAAAGACCGTTTTCCTCAAAAATTGCTTCCAAATTCACTCTTACCTATTATACAACCGATCGTTCAATGACTCACTACCCGAAAATACCCGAACACTTACCCGAAAATACCCGAACACTTCAACAACTAGTGATAGTGCCTTTTTTTTTTACGGCTTAGCGTAGCTTTTTAGTATCGGTATTTATGCTTATTCATCTCATATAAAGTCCAAAAAAAATTTTTTTTTATTGAATGTTTCGTTTTATTCTTAATGCAAAAGTTCGTTTAACAGTTTATCGAAAAAAGACCCCTAAAAATCAATTGGTGGATATGTGTACGCCATATGGCGTAGAGTTCCAATCCATGTATCATTTATCCGGTTATCTATTGGATAAAATAGATTATTATCCGGCAAACTCTTATGATCGTAAATTAATTTCTGCACGTTATTTTTTCATGTTATACGATGTAATCGACTGCCGGATAATGTATACTTATCCAATAAATTATTCGGATTCATTTGACAATTGCAACTTCTAAGATAATCAATAATATAAATTCATTTAGCAATTACAAGTTCTAAAATAATTAATCAATAATATAAATTCATTTGACAATTATAAATTCTAAGATAATCAATAATATAAATTCATTTGACAATCACAAGTTCTAAAATAATCAATAATATAAAAATAGAATCTTTCTAATTTATGTTGATTATCTTAGAATTTTGTACGTAATCCCTAACGGGTAATCGGTTATTCAATTTAAACGCTAAAGATTAATGTCCGAATATAGTAACAGCAGAGACAGTGCCCGATCCAGGAATCCAGGGTGAATCCTCATAGGAGGACTTTCGTATGATTGGCTGTTTAAATCAATTTAATTTTACATTATTTATACAGTTTAAAGTACTTTT